AACCGTTTGACTTTGGCACATGAGGTGGCGGGTTTGGCTGGGTAACATAATGGAAATGTATCGGACTGCAAATCCTGGAATGACGGTTCGACCCCGTCCTTGGCCTCGGGGAGTGGCGAGCAGCACGGAACTTTAATGAATCAAATGGCATAGCATAAAGGGGGGGCTTTCCTTTGTTAGAAATCCACAGACAACATTCTGGAACTTCCAAACCAAAGAAATGCAACATGAGAAGTTTTACGTTACGCTTCAATAGAATGAATTCGGTAAGGGTAGAATACGCCCCATGGTCGATCGAAGGTCCTGTGCCACTTGAACTCAAATCTATCTGACCTTCCATCCATCTTTGTCCAGCCAGCCAGCTCATAAATGTTAGACCAACCAATCTCAGGGCTGACACAACCGAATTGGTTGAGGAAAAGGAAACCCCAGCGACCAAGCACTCCCGCCTCCTAAAGCGGAGACCGAACAACCGCCAGGTTGTCGAAGACACGTCTGAAGAGGAGGCGGGCGCCCTCTAAGTTGACCACCCTACCCACTAATGGACTATGAGGGGGGGCAGGCGAACGGGAACCGACCGAGAACCCGAACCGCTTGCCATATCTAAACTAGCTGACCCCTTCATACATACTCGATTCATTAGGGTCGGGGATGGATGAAACCCATAATCAAATAAGTGCAAAAAATAGCGCAAGCGAAGCCGGGAAACGGACCGCAGCGCAACGACTAGGACTCGTGTCGGAGGAGTTTTGAGCGTGAGCTACCACTCATGCAGCGGCAAGGACCCGCAACTCTCGAAGGGGCCACCAACCGCCCGAATCACTGTAGTGTAGGAAACCCTCCCTTTACTCAATGGATAGCGCTTATCCTCTTTCAATCAACAAAATGAGAAATGGATGAGAAAGAGGTCTTTATGGAAGAGGCTTTGCACCTAGGACTCATAAAGATCCAGAAGAATGGGTCTAGGCTTTCGAAAAGATGAAGATGCAAAGGGTAAAGAGAAAAGAAATGTCTTTTGAACAACCAACCTGACATAAGGATTCTAGCTCGCCCAGTTAGAGCAGATGGAGATTCTCGGACGGGGAAAAGCGGCACTCAATCAACATCTATTCTATTAAACAACACCAAGAACAAAGCCATACCATGCCCTCGGGAGAAAGACGTGATGATTGCCATGAATGCTGCCCTCGAGGACGTGTACAAGAAGGTCTTTGCCGATTCCTATCAACATGGTGCACCTCTCAGTAGATAGAGGGGCGTGAAAACGCCGTGGAGACTTTGACCGAATGAATAGGTATCAATTGATAGACATTTTGATTGAGGAAGAGAATCCAGGATGAACGCTTTTTTCGTTCGCTATGTGCTGACTGGATGCTCGCGTGATCGATGGACGGGGGAATTGCATGAATGACGAGACCGGCCTAACCGAAAGTCAAGGCTCTTCCCTCTCTTGATGGCGAATCTTGATTGACTGACACTAGGAACCGATTCGGAGAAACAAGAAGCATGGCATGAGATACGCGGCGGCAAAATTTCCGATAGCGAATTACTTGACTCGATGGATGGAGGGCCCTCCAACTCAAGCACGAAATCAATGTTGAGTCAACAATCATCGAGAGGGGCACCGCCAAGCGAGATCGAGACCAGCACCTTGTATATATATATAGGTTGGGGAAAAGCCCCTTGTTTGTATAGGCTTCCAAACCTGCGCTTCTTCTAATATCCCAACAATCAAGAAAGTAGTAGGGGCTTCAAACCTTCGCCTATCTATACTATCTATAGTAAGTAAGGGGCCTTTTCTTGCTCGTTAGCGCTGTTTTTTGATTGCAGGGCGCTAGC